CAGAAAGATGGATAAACTGTCGTCTAAATTAACAAAAAAAATAAATAAATAATGACATCTCATTTTAACAAATATATTTATCAAAAATAAACTAAAATATCTTGAAATACTAAAAAGTAAATTGATTCAATAAAATCCCCATTGGCTTCAACCACGGCCTCCAGATGACTTCGGAATCTCCTGCAACTCTTCCGGGTGACCTTGTTTTTTAAGTTGGTGAATGTTGCCATAATCTTTGCGTTCAGTTCATCTTTAGTGTAACAAGGATTTTTTTCTCTCGCTCAACTGCGCCCCACACCATAATAATCAAGGGGTTTTAGTCTGGGGAGTTATCCGTGATTCCAGATGTAAATAAGTGATGTGGTCGCAGAAATTGTCTGACAGCCATGACTGGGTTCTCCTGCTTGTGTGGCGTGGTTCAGAGTCCTGTTGCCAGACACAGGGTCTCCCAGCAGCCACACTCTTGGCCCAGGACAGTACTACCTCCTCAAGGCACTTGATGTAGGCCTCCGTGTTGAGTCTGAGGCCCTCATTTTAAAAGATGAATGGAGAAAATAACATCACTACATCATCATTCAACACAAGATTACAGATTCGTAATCATTCAACTCATTCAACTCTTTCCGAATCTTCTGCACTGTCCTCAGATTGACACCCAAACACTCTGAAATGTTCGTATTGGAGCTTCCGGCGCGAATAAAAAACAGTACAGCATGCCGTTTCCAAATTTCTGGCAGGAGTGAATTGCGTCATGGTGCTTTTTTTTTTATCACAGACGGTGCCCAACTGACAATAAATACCTGTATAGTCGACAAAATCAAAAAAAAACAATACAATGCGCAAAATTTTGAAAATAAAAAATATAATTTATATCAATAAACCATTTCACACTGTTATCTATTTAATTATATATATAAATAATGTTTTGTTTTTGAAAAATGAACCGATTTGTTTTTACAATATGTAAATTTAAAAAAAAAATATAAATTAAAATGGGAAAATGATATCTATAATCAAAATTCAATTTTTTAGCAACCATTTGAATTTTTTAATAATCTATATAAATGCATATATATTTATATATATACAACACATTATCAGCATATATTTATCAAATGAAAGTTTTAAAAAACATAATAAAAATATGAATATGAAAAAAAATAGCAAAAATTTTTCATATGAAAAATATTTTTGGTTCATGTCATCCTCAACTATGAATTTTATATATAATTAATTTTTCAATATTATAAAAAAAAAAAACTAAAAATGTCTTTCATTTGATGATTTAATTTGTCATTTTTTATTATTTATTTTTTTACATTACACACACACTAAATACACACATACACATGTTAAATATTGTATTTTGAAAATTTTTACTGCAATACAGAATACTATCTTTGGAAAAAAAAATTAGTTCAATCTTATCTTCAGAATCTATTTTTAAAAATAGAAGATCTGACTATCTTTCATCATTAATAAATATTTTCTGATTATATTTATCATGTTAAATATTCAATGGGTTTTCATTTTTTTTTAAAGTTCAAAACAATTCAAAAAGGACAATAAATTTACTTTCAAGGAATTTATTTCAATTCAATTCCTCAATATTTTCTATCTTTGTAAAAAAATCCATAAAACAAATTTTTTTTTCTAAATTCCAATTTATGTATCAATTTTTCTATCTATAGAACAATGTCAAAAATTTCTAACAAATTCAAGTAAAAAAATTGACCGAATTTGTTCATCAAAATTTCTTAAAATCCTTGCTTTTGTATCAAAATCAAATCCTTTTTTATGTATTCATCATTAAATTGCCGAATCTAACCCTCTACCTCAGAGTGGCTCTTTAACCTTGTAAATCTATTTGATGAATTTTTTTAAAAACGCATATTGCTTTGTAAATATCATGTTATTTATTTTGCAATAAATTAAAATTATAATGAACAAATTTCTTTAAATTTTAAATAAATAAGGGTTTTCAATTTACGATTTTAACCCTTCTTTTAAATCTTGAATTTGCATTTCAATAAGGCAATAAATCTAAAAAATAAGAATCTATCTATAAATGGAAGAATTATTTCTAAACATTAATGATTAGCAGAAAAAAAGAAATTTTTCAAATGTGGACAGTATACTTTTTGATATTTCATTTTTCTTTTTAAAGATATGTTCAATCTAAGTCAAATTTCATGATTTTAGTCCCATTTATATAAAAGAAACCGTTAGTTTAGAACTTATCTATAATCTATCCATTATATGGTAAATTTCTGAAATTAGACTATAAAGCCCTAAAATTAGTGCTTTTTTTAAATTAAAAAAAATTCTTATTTAATATGAAAAATTTTTTTATAATTTATAATACAATAAAATCTATATATTTTATTTTATAGAATATGTAAAAATATCACTCAACGAATGTCTATTTTAATATATTTTATATGAATAATATATTAATTTTTTGATTTTGTATTTGATTTTTCATCCTTTTGTAAGTTTTAATATTCTTTTCATTTATTTCAAAGCATTCAATCAAATTTTCCTTTCTTTACTATACCTCACTTCTATATATTTTCCTTGTATTTTTTTAAAATAAAAAAATTCGAACTTGAATCCAGGATTCCCAATTTTTTTTAAAATATATTTGATAATTTAATTAAATTGTCATCGTAACTAATGTCTTATTTCTGACTCATATTTTATATATATTTATATATATATATATTATATATATATATATATATCTATATATATGTATATCTATTATGTTCTATATCTTTTTTTTTATTCAAATGTATCTATTTTATCTATGTATTTAATTTCTTATTTTAATTTTGAGTTAATTTATAATATTTATTTTTTTTCTTTCTATAATTGATCATTGTTTTTTAAAAATCAAAAAAATTCTAATGAAATCAAAATCTATCTTTTTGATATATATATCTATATATATTTATATATATTTATATATATATTAATATATATATATATCTTTATTTTCTTATATATACATAAAAAAAAAGTTTTTGATTTGAATTTCAAGTCAAATTTTTAAATACCTTCAATTTTTTTCATTTATATTAAATCGTTTTTGATTACTTAATCTAAATTTTTTTATGATTTCCATTTTGTTCTAATATTTTTAGCCATTTTAAATTATCTTGGATACGATTTTTTCTTTACTTAAAATAAATAAAAGAGTTTACTGCGATAATGCATCATATGCCGAATAATAACGGAAACATTTAGCAATTATATATATTTTTAATTGAAGGTTAATTACTAGTCACTGATAAAAACAAAACTTGTTAAAAACAAAAGTTCAAGAAACAACATTACTTTCCTTTTTCCTTCTTTCTTTTTTTTTTACTTTCCAAGTCCCTTAAAATCTATTTTTTTTTTCACAATCGTCATTTTTTCCTTTTCTAAACCAGTCATGAGAAATATCTGTTTTTTTGGCTTTTTTTTCTTTTTTGTTTCTTCGTTTTTCATCTTTATTCAGTTTAAGAACTTTTTTTTTTTCTTTTTTTTTTCTTTCTTTCTTTCTTTCTTTCAAAACTTTCTTTTCTTTCTTTTTTATTTGTTTCTTTCTTTCTTTCTTTTTTCATTTCATTCTTTCTTTTTTCAATTCATTCTTTTTTCTTCTTTCTTTCATTCATTTACTCATTCATTCATTATTTCTTTCGGTTTTCTAACTTTCTTCACTCATTTATTCATTCTTTCTTTCATTCATTCATTCATTTTTCTTTTATTCATTTATTAATTCTTTCTTTCTTTATTTCATTCATTCCTTATTCTTTTCTTTCTTGATTAATTTATTCTTTCTTACATTCTTTCTTTCTTTCATGCATTCTTTCTTTCTTTCTTTTTTCTCTCATTCATTCATTCATTCATTCCTTCTTCATTTTCTTTCATTTCATTTCTTTTTTCTTTCTTTCATTCTTTTCATTCATTCCTTCTTTCTTTCATTTATTCTTTCTTTCATTTCTTCATTCTTTCTTTCAAAATTTTCAATTCTTCATTTCATTCTTTTTTTTTTTCATTCACTTTCATTCATTCTTTCATCCTTTGTTTCTTTTCTTTCATCTTCCTTCTTTTAATCATTCTTTTCTTTCTTTTTTTTTTTTTTTCTTCATTCATTCATTCAATCATTCATTCTTTCTTTCTTTCATTCTTTCATTCTTTCTTTCTTTCTTTCTTTTTTTTTCTTTTATATTCTTTTTTCTTTTCATTCTTTTTTTTTTATTCATTCTTTCTTTCTTTCATTCATTCTTTCTTTCTTTTTCTTTCTTTCTTCATTTTATTCGTTCTTTCTTACATTTTTCATTCATTCATTCTTTCATTCATTCATTCTTTCTTCATTTCTCTCATTCATTCATTCTTTCTTTCTTTCATTCATTATTTCTTTGATTCAATCATTTTTTATTCATTCTTTTATTCTTTCTTTCTTTCTTTCTTTCTTTCATTCATTCATTCTTTGTTTCATTCATTTATTTTTTCTTTCATGCGTTCGTTCTTTCTTTATTTCTTTCATTCGCTCATTCTTTCTTTCATTCATTGATTCCTTCTTTCTTTCTTTCATTCATTCTTTCATTCTTTTCTTCTTTCTTTCATTTATTCATTCATTCTTTCATTCATTCATTTATTCATTAATTCTTTCTTTCTTTCTTTCTTTCTTCATCCTTTATTTCTTTTTTTTCTGTTTTTTCGTCTCTTATTATTCGCGTTCTAATTTTTTTCTTTTCTTTCTCTTTTTTTTTTTTTTCTTTTTTTTTTTTTCCTGTTTTTTTTTTTCCTTTTTTTTTTTTTAATTTTTTCAAAATTATTTGAGGGAAACCGATTTCAAAATGTCAAGAAAGGAAGAGAATTCTAAAAATTTTTAAAAAAATCAGGAAAGCTTTTTGTTTGTTTGTACCCTTTATAAACGAATTAAAGAACAAGAGACTCGGATGGGATGAGAAAGACAGAACGAAAATCATTCCTGGGGGAAATCCAGAATGTCATCGAAGCTTATTTGGAAAACGAATGATATTGAAAAGAGAACAAGAGAATAAAGAAAGGAGGATAAAGAGAGAGAGAAAAAAATTCTAAATTTTAAAATAATTTAAAATCGGTTCTTCAAGAAAAGACAATTGCTTTTTTTTTTTAAAGATCAATAAAAAAAAAAATTTGATAATTTTTCGTGGCATATTTCTTTGCTAGTTTCTTAACGCTGATTTTTGTTTATGCATCCTTTTAATCATATTTGGTTTTAGTAAATATAAAAAGTAAATTACAAATTGTAGGTTCCACAATGAAACCATAATAAATCGTCTTGATAGACTATCCGCTGGGGTTTTCAAATATGTTCTAGGCAAATTTGCTAAATGCCAGTTCTTGTTAAAAAAGTTCAAAGTAAACAGTGTTTCCATAGTTGAGAAAAATTCAAGAACACAATAGTTTTTTATGTTCATTCCATTTTTTGCTCTATTCACTAATGTTTTGGAAGTATAGATGAGAGAAAGGAGGGAGAGAGAGAGAGGGGGAGAGAAGGAGAGAGATAGGAGAGAAGGAAGGGGGAGGGAGAGAGAGAGAGAGAGAAAGGCGATAAATAAATCTGAAGAGAAATGAGAAGAAACTGATAGAAAGAAATAATCGACCACAAAAAAGACAAAAAAGAAACCAGATGGAAAAATAAAAAGAAATAATTGAAATAATTTAAAAAGAAAAAGAAAAAAAAAAAAGAAGGAAAAGAAAAAGAAAAGAGAGAAAAGAGGAAAGAAAGAAGGAATCGACCAAAAAACAAAAAAAAAATTAAAACTAAAACAGAAAAAAAATCGGAAGAAAAAAAAAAAAAAAAAAAGAAAAAGAAAAAAAAAGTTTAAAATAAGATTTTTAAAGAAGAAAAAAATTATTTAAAAAAAAAAAAAACGACCAAGAAAACAAGGAAGGAAAAAACCTTTTAAATTAGAAGACAAATAAAATTTTTAATTCAAAAAAAAGAAAAATAATCGATCAAAAAAACAAAAAAGAAAGAAAAAAAAATAAAAATAAAAGAAATAATCAATTCTTCTGTTTAAAGAAAAAAACCAGAAGAAAAAGAAAGAAAGAGAGAATCGATCATAAAGCATAGAAAGAAAGAAGGTAAGAAACCAGAAGAAAAAGAAAGAATGAAGGTCCGAACTGATTACAAGATAAAAATAAGAAAGAATCGGAGTGAAATCAAGGAAAACGAAAAAAGAAATCATGAGAAAATAGAAGAAGAAAAAATAAAGAATGATAGAAAGAAAGAATGTAGAATAAAAAAAAAAAGAATCAGTTACGAAGACCAAACTCCTTGAAGAAAAGAAAAGAATGAAAATCTTCTTCTCCCCCCAGGAAATACTATAAAACATAAACCAGTTTTAGTTTGATAGAAACGTTTTATTTAGTAGGTAAGATAGTTGAATTTTCCAACTAGAATTATATTTTCAAGGTGGTAAAAAAGCCAGTATCCCAAACGTTAATTGACTGACGCGACCAAATTGTCTCTAGTCTCACTTATGACTTGACCTTGTGCCAGACTGAACTAAACTTGATATGAGATACAGACTTACCAAGTGACTGAAATTATTGCTTACTTGGGGCAGGTGTTCGAGCTCAGGGAAATAACTAGAATCTCGAAGTCAAACAGGTTCACTTCTTTTAATTGATTGGCGTAACATAATCTTCCTAGATTCGTTTTTTTTTCTTTCGTTTGCCTATTTGACGGAATAAATCCAGTAAAATCCAGTAGAATCAATACTGAATGAAAAGGGACAGAGAGAGAAAGAAAATAGGAAAAAGAAAGAAAGATTATTTCAAAATGAAAAAAAAAAATGGAATAATGGTTAAAAAAAATAGGAGAAATCATAGAAAAGGAAAAATATAAAAAATCATTTTAAAAAAAAAAAACAAAAAAATGGCAAACAGGCTTTCAATGGATTGAAAAAGACAGGACACGAAAAAAAAAAATGGAGTAATTACGGAGGTAGATTGATAAATAAATAAGAAAGGAAAAACAAAGAAAGTGTGATTAAAGGTAGAGACAGCGAAAAATAGCTAAGAATGAAAAGAGAAAAATAAAAAAAAAGAAAAAACGTTCTTGCTCTCTTGTTTCGCGTCCCCAACGCCGCCATTTTTGTTCGCGTCATAGCAGTTCACATCTCATTCCTGCGCCATCTCGTCTTTCGTTCGCCGCTCTCCTCCTCCCACCTCCATCATTCTCAACCCTATTTATTTTTTCCCAATCAACCTTTACGGCAAAATACGTACAATGTTTCAATTTTATTGCTGACGTGCCACTAGAACAGAATTATAGCATTACGAGAGAAACATTACTTGTGGCGATGACGAACTGGGACTCTTAAAAATCAGCGCCAAAACGCCACACCTTCCCTTGCAAACCACATCTTTTACTCTTCATGAAATCTTTCTTTTTCTTCTTTTTTTTCCTCTTTTTTCGCTCTCTTTCTCTCACCGAAAGTATCGACGCCAACACCTTAAACTGAAAATAGTAAAAGCTTTATTTGTGAAATTTGAATGTCGATTTTTAATAAAATGTTTTCTTTTTATTTTTCCGAATCGTAAATGTTTTTTACGATTAAAATATTCGCTTTGTTTGGTAATCCATTCACATCAGTGATGTTCAAATCGTAAATAAATAATATATTTTTGTGTTCACAAAATTAATACATACACATTTTTTTTTAATATATATATATATATATATATATATATATATATATATATATATATATATATATATTAATTACACTATTTACATTATTTTTTTAATTGCTCAATTTCAGTGATAGAGCTAACATATTATATTGTATAATTTGTGACCCTGGGTTTCACGTTTTTGCGATCATCAGACAAACCAGTATGTCTGATGATGCACCCCCACCTGTTCCTTGTTGAGAGAACATCGCTACATATATAAACGCTGCGGTCTCGACTCGCAATTTGGATTTTTTACGCGTATATATGGATGCTCGAACGCGAAAAGATTTAATTTGAATCTGGCAATAAAAGTATAGCGGATTGTTTGTATGGGTTTAAAAAATTTAAATAGGTAAGTTTATCCCCAAAAAACACAAAAGAAAATACACCCCCCCGCCAGACAATCAAACACAAATAATTATAATTCAAAGAAAGATAAATTTAAATTATATTGGTCGATTAAATGAATTCATGCTTGCATTTTTTTTTTTTTAAATGGTTCCATACAACGTAAAACATAATATTTTAATATTTTGTCTAAAAATATTTTACATCGCGACACGGAAATGTTTTTTAAATTTGTTCCATTATCATAAAATTTGGAAATAAAAATTTAATTTTAAATTGCAATATTTTTTTTCACTAAATATTAATGCATTTTTTTCGCTTGATGTGACATTTTATATTCTCCCCTCCCCTTCATGTTTGTTACAAATTTCAACGTGTTCATTAAATGTAATATATATATATATATATATATATATATATATATATATATATATATATATATATATATATGTGTGTGTGTATATTTATAAACAATATATGGACAAAGCTGTATCGTATTAAAACAAATATTAATGCATTTTTAATATTGCCAAGCATACACACACATATGTATATTCAGGTAGCAAGAATATTTAGATAAATATTGAAATCAGACAAGACCGTCTGGAATATATACACTATCTAATAAGCTTTATTTGACTTAATTGAAACAATACATGGTTATAAATTGAAAGGGGATGAGGATGTACTTAGTTTATTACGACATCGTCTGTTAATTGTTTATATAATATTTTCCAATTTTCCAATAAGTTATTTTTAAATGATAGATCGAAATTGTATAAACTCTTATATCGTTTTATCAGAGTAACGTGATGTCGGTGGATCCTATTTTAGTAAGTGATAGTTTTTTTCTCGGAAGAAGATTCTGCAGAGAGTGCCTGTGTGATTGGCAAAAATATTCTCTTTGTTTTGTATAATCCGTCAAAAATCAATATTCTATTTTGTCATTTGTTTACAATATATATATATATATATATATATATATATATATATATATATATATATATATAAAGAAAGAACAGTAAGATATATAATCCGGTGTTCTTATAGATATTTTTTTTACAAAATAGTGCTCAATGTAAATTTACAGAGCATTTATTTTTAACAAGAAGAAAATATGGAGAAAATTAATTTTGGAATTTCTCTGAAGAACATTCCTAATACCAACAGAAAGGAATATTTTCGTGATTTAATGAAAAAATCAGAGGAACTCATACGAAGGATGAGATGGAGAGCTTTTCTTCCTTAATAAGAACGAATCACAAAACAAAAACTATTTTAACTTACGGTTTTAAATATAAAATAGCAATTTGGATATTCATAGTTTGTCCGCTTTCGAAAAGGACCTACTGGAAATAATAAACAACATAAATTTCCATGATAAGAAAAACATACTTTTAGAAACAACTGGATAAGATTGTAAAAGATATTAATATACATATAAAATTTTAGTAAAATCCGACAAAACTGGAAACTTTTATAAAACGGAATACAACGACCTAATAAATAAGGACTTACATAAGAACTACAAGAAAGCGAATAAAATGACCTCAACATAGTTCGGGATATCAATACTAGTAAAAAAATCACTGATAAACTAATGATCAGTGATAGGGTAGGTCAACTACATCAAAAAGAATGCTACATAACCTTAAAGGACCATAAACCAGATTTTGAGGCTAATCCCACTACAAGGATAATAAATCCTACAAAAAAGGATATTGGAAAAATCAGTAAAATGATCCTTGAAAGGGTAAATAAAAAATTAAAGAAAAAATAAGCCTGAAACTTTGGATTAATACCAAGGAAGTGATAAACTGGTTTACTAACATAAAAGAAAAGAACAACTGTACACTAATGCAGTTTGATATTGATAATTATTACCAACCAATATCTAAAGAACTATTTATGAATGCGTTGGACTTTGCCACCCACTATACGGATATTACAGATGAAGAAAAGAACATTATTCTGTATGCGAAAAAATCGGTACTTATAAATAAAGGTGAGCAATGGATTAAGAATTCTTATGACCACTTTGACATCACAATGGGATCACTAGAATCAGCTGAGTCTTCTGATCTCATTGGTCTTTTTATATTATACAACCTTACAGCGCACCGTAATATGAATATAACTGACATTGGTTTGTACAGAGACGATGGACTTATGGTTATTAGAAACTCAACTAACTTCAAAATAGATAGAATTAGAGAAGGTATTATATAAAGAATTTAAAAGCATGGGCTTAAAAATTACGGTTAGCACTAAACTAAAAAAAGTGAACTTCCTTGATATAACATTAGATCTAAATAAAAATACATACACACCTTATAAAAATACCAACACCAATCCTTTATATATTCACCCTAAATCGAATCACCCCCCCATCTATAATTAAACATATACCGTTATCTATCAGTAAACGAATAAGTACAAATTCAGCAAATGACAAGATTTTCGATTAGCATATCAATTCCTATAATAAGGCTCTAAAAGAGAGTGGCTACAAAACCCGAAAACTAACTTATATAAAAAATGAAAATGCAAAGCATAGAAAAAACAGATGTAGAAAAAAAATAATTTGGTATACACCCCCATACAACCAAATGGTAAAGAAACAAATTAGGACAAAAAATTCCTCACATTAATAGTCAAGCATTTTCCTAGTGAAAGTAAACTAAGTACTATTTTCAATAAAACACTAAAATCGTGTTACAGCTGTACGGAAAAATTACGAAAAATTATTAAGAACCATAATGCTAATATCTTAAATAAACACTTATACCAAAACCCAAAAAATTTAGACAATGGAAAAATAAAAATAAAAACTGATGAAAATAAACAAAAATTATGTAACTGTAGAAACCCTCATAATTGCCCTCTACAAAATAAATGTCGCACTGAATCATTAGTATACCAATGCAATATCTCTTCGATTGAGAGTCCTGAAAACATAAAAATATATATAGGTTGCACTAGCCATGAGTTCAAAAAAGATTCAACCAACATCAAAGTTCATTTAGGATAAATAAATATAAAAAATCAAACATCTCTCTCGAAATACTTCTGGCACCTAAAAGAATCAAATAAAACACCTACAGTAAAATGGAAGTTAATAAGAAAAGCTAGAATATGTAGGTCATTAAATGACCCATGTCCTTTGTGCATACATGAGAAACTATATATTACTAAGATTATAAAAAATAAAAATTTACTGAATCAGAGAAATGAAATAGCTATTTTATATCGTCATTGTAAAACATTTTCCTTAAATAATGTTTAAAAATAAAAGTAAATTTAA